CTTGAAGTAATGCATCTTGTGTTCTTTTTTCCCCTTCCAAATATTATGGTTTCTTTCCAACGTCTTTTTTTTGCCTTGAATGGATATTGGATGCTTAAAAAATGTTAGGATAGTGATAAACTTTGAGCAAAATCAAACAAAGATGATATAACAAACAAAACAAAGATTATGAATATAAGGAATACAATTTTACATTTGTCTTTTTGAGGTCCTAGAGATCATATATTCTATTCATTGCATATAAATTTAGCGATAAAGATGGATATATATCGTTTATTTTGAGGCAATTCAGCTACCTATGCTAAAATAAAGGTTGGACATGAAGAGGAAGACTGTTTGTTGCTACTGCACTCTTCTCTTCTCTTCTTTGTTGCAGAAATCTAAATGAAATCTTTTGCTTTCTAATGGAATCAAACCTAGAAGCACCTCATTCTTGAAGAGTAGAAGATCTCCTTTATGCAAACACTTGAAAAAAAGCTCTTCCCTTTGTTCTCTCAGCTGGCAACCCGTCCCGACTTTCTTTCCTCAATTTCTCTCTGTGTTTGTTGTTGTGGGATGTCAATCCCCTTCTTTTAAAACTTTATTTTTCTTGTTAACAAGATATGCGTTTGGTGACATAAAATTAATTATAATAATTTGTTTGATCTCTTAAGGTTGGCAAATATATTTGAAAATTAAATATTTGCAATAAATAGATCACAATTATATCTTATAAAGATTTGATGGGATAAATTTGACTCCATAAATGTAGCAATGTCATGGTTATAGGCAAAAAACTTTTGATGTACTGTGTGGTGAGTGTCCAAATTACTCTTTGTGAGCCATTCTCAATCTATCATTTATAAAGGTTAACCAAGACTTCATAAAGCCTTAGCCTTTTTATTGATATCATTTTTGTGAGTAATTAGCAAGGGTCTATGTGTTTGACATTAACAAGTTATAATGAACCAAATTCAAGTAAACTATGTGTAGTAGTACTGAAGTTGTATGTGTTTTATTCGGGATTAAAAAGACACATTTTTTTTGCCAGATGATTGATGCTTTTGGTTATCATAAAAGAGTGTATTTTCTTATGACCTGTTCAATTCTTCTAGAAAATTTTTGAGTCGAATCATCTCTTTACTGGATTCAATAACATCTACTTATTCAAGTTCCTAGGTGACAATGGGATTATCTTTTATAGTTGTAGCATCCAGTTGATTGTAGGGTCACCCAGAGTATAGATATACGTAGTTGCACCTTCTGGTGTCTAGGTTTGTGCCTAGATCTTAATCAATGTAGCATTGTAGTTTTCAATTGTCTTTTAAACTTGTGGGATAAAATAGTGTTAATCCACTTAAGAGTTTCCCAATGTTTATTTCTCAGATTATTAATTTATTTGTTGACTACTCTCACTTCTTGTGTAACATCTGTCTTGTGTAATTGCATATGTGAGTGATCCAACAGCTGATGTGTAGGGAACTTTTCTCATGTGCTCCTTTTTCTCTTCAATTCATGAAATTTGTTATTTAGTCAATAAGAAGTGCTAATGAGCGACGGACCTACAATCTTTGCCTTTGTTATGTTGAACATATCTAATACCTTTTTTTATATTTAATGCCTTAAAACCTTTGTTCTATTGCGATCTATTTTCATCTTGAGAATTATTTTGGT